TGCTTATTTTAATCAGAACGCTCTATATATTTTTGATTTTGGAAGTATAGTCTTTCCAATCTCAATTGAAGAACCAAGAGGTTGACAGTATGTACAAGGTTCGGTCGCTGACGCAGCAACTCGGCATTGAAATATTTGAAAAACTTGTTCCCATATTTATTTAGCCATACCCATATACAGGTCTAGTTGAACTAAACTTGGAAGTAGTAGAAATGTATACGCCCTGTTGAAGAGTGCGCACTGGCAAACCGCACTGAGCGACTAGGCAATAAATCTCAGTTGTTGACAGGTGGTTGATAAATTGTCTAGCAGTGCAGTGCAGCAATGCGGAATTTGATGTAATGCAGGTAAATTTAATTTATTATAAACACCTTCTATTAATAATTCATATTACAATTGCGAAAGGGAGAAATAAGCGGGATATTTTGTTTACTAATATTATTACCACATGGCATTTTGGGGACCTTTTGAAAAGGAGCAAAACGAAATTTACCATCAATATAATAAAATTGTTTGAAGACATAAATAATTAAAATATGTTGTGGCCAAATGAACATATTAGAAATATTTTACACATTATATACAAATTATTATAATTTTGTAGGTACTTTAGCGGAAAACTTTTTAGGGACGCCTATAAAACTCATTAAATTTTATTGCTAGGCGTTTTTATACTGACTTCGAAAAGACTATTAACACAAAATTTAGAGTCGTAAATATTTCTATTATAATAAATCTATTTAATACGAAAGTAATATTAGAACAACGATATTTTGAATATTGAATAGTGTTATTTTAATTTTGTTTATTAAACGCACTGAATTTTGTAACATGTAACATAGGCTTCGATTCTTTTTACGTTGATACCACGAAGATAACCATTATCTTTGGTGATTTGTGGAATACGATATCCCAAAGAGAGAACTAGTTATTTTTAACAATTTTATTGGAAAAAATTAATACCTCTCGACCACTCGGTTAAAATTAATCTAATTAAAATAAATAATTATCTGTGAAATCTTTAGGAATTTGTAACATACATTATATGGCAATATCACAAGACATCCTAAGTGTGGAATATAAAATAACTCTAGGACGGAAACTGTTTAAATGGATAAAATGGGTTAGTAACAATCATAGTAGCTGCAAATATCGGGAATATAGAGTAGGAAAGTTAAAAATAGATATAGTCCAGACGATATGTGTTTCAAAAAGCCATATTTGGGTGAATCGTATATCCACGGAGATTTTTGGCTTTTTGGCTTTCAAATATCACTAGAAATGAAAATTTTTCTATGCACATAAAAAAAACGTGGGCTTAACTTTTGCCGGCACAACAGGTATGTTAAAAAAATTCGAAAAATGTCATACTTTTTCTTCCTATTTAATTATGTATCTTTTCAAGAGTTGATTTTAGGCGAAAATGGAAGAGGAAAAAAATGTTTGCAATTAAATTTTTTACAAAACATGTCTAATTACAAATCGAATGAATCATGTTTATTATGGTAAAAATCGAAAAAATCGCAAAAATGGGGTTAAAAAACAATACTTTTTAGGGAATTTTTTTGGGGTATTTAAATTGGGTATAGGACCTTTATACTTGGCTCAAGAAAACTTCATGTTATGTAGAATCATCACACCAAATTTCATCAAAATCGGTTCGATAGATTTTGCATAATAATTTTGCAATCCAGATTTTGAAAAAAAAATTGCAAATTTTCAAAATTTTGCACAGCAAAAACCAAGGCCCTTAGATACTTGAAAATTTAATCACATATAGAAGGACTCTCAAGCTTTCAAACTTTTTTTGAAAAATTCGAATCCGTCAATTAGGAGAGCTCTGGCGCTTGTTTAAACATTTTTCGAATTTTTGTACTTATAAACAATTAGAACTTTGTAAATATTCAATCAAATCAAATTTTCAAAGCAGGTTTTAAAAGTTCTTGGAAAGACGCTTCTTAAAACAAAAACAGAACGATTGATCAATTAGTTACATAGTTATAGCCCATTCAATTTCGAGCAGGCCGAAGAGGTCGCGCTCTCTGCTTCCACCACCACCACCCGTACGATTTTATTGAATTTCTCGCTTGCATAAAAAACTTTAAACACGTTTTAAAGTAGGTTGCCAATGAAGACAAGTATTGTAATCTTAGACCTGGTAAGTACTCGGAATACCAAAGGTATTTTTCGAAAAATTAGCCCGGATGTCCCAGTACATTTAGTGTAAATGACGGCTATTCAAGTACTTAAGGGCCTTGGTTTTTGCTGTGCAAAATTTTGAAAATTTGCAATTTTTTTTTCAAAATCTGGATTGCAAAATTATTATGCAAAATCTATCTAACCGATTTTGATGAAATTTGGTGTGATAATTCTATATAACATGAAGTTTTTTTGAGCCAAATATAAAGGTCCTATACCCAATTTAAATACCTCAAAAAAATTCCCAAAAAAGTATTGTTTTTTAACCCCATTTTTGCGATTTTTTCGATTTTTACCATAATAAACATGATTCATTCGATTTGTAATTAGACATGTTTTGTAAAAAATTTAATTGCAAACATTTTTTTCCTCTTCCATTTTCGCCTAAAATCAACTCTTGAAAAGATACATAATTAAATAGGAAGAAAAAGTATGACATTTTTCGAATTTTTTTAACATACCTGTTGTGCCGGCAAAAGTTAAGCCCACGTTTTTTTTATGTGCATAGAAAAATTTTCATTTCTAGTGATATTTGAAAGCCAAAAAGCCAAAAATCTCCGTGGATATACGATTCACCCAAACCAAATGAAAACGAAGAACAATTGCTCCAAAATGAAAATAAAGATTTTCAATTGTAACGATCTCAAATGACAGATTTACAAAATTTATTAGGCCAAAAAATCTAGATAGAGGTTATAAAAAATATATATACCTATTCCGCTGGATATTCTCAAATAGTAAGGTTTACTGCCAACACATTTTACTCATGCAAATCAGTTTGACTTCTAGATTTCTTTTCATTTTCTGCTTTTCCAACACAACGACCAAACCTTTCTTTTAGGTTAAACTATAGATGATTTATTTCAATATATCTACGTAGAGGCAATATTAAAATTTGAATGAAGTTGTTTACGATCAAAAAATATTTAAAAAGACACAATTTTAGAAAGACCAAAATAAATTTAGGGCTAAAGGAATAATTCATAATTTTGCAACACCTTGTTTATACATTGCTTATTTTAAAATGTGTCCTTTTCAGTTCCACTGACATTCCAACGATGACATTTTTTTCCTTTACCAAAACTAAGATTATTATTGGATGGGCCACTAAATAGGAACACTGCATAACCTTTGGGGAGTTATATGATATTTTATATATAAAAATTGAAGTGATGTGAAATTTTCAGTGGTTTTTTTTAAAGAAACCAAATCCGAATTACTAAGATTGCAAAGATTTTTAAAAATGTACCTATTTTCTTTATATTTTTCATGAAAGCATTACGGTTTAATTTTCTGTTAAATTGTAGAATGACGTGGCAATCGATGGGAAGGGAATTTAGAATAATACAATTGTGTAAAAAATGTGCTCATGTAATAACGAAAATATGAACAAGTTGAGCAGAATATAGTATTTATTGGTTTTAAGGTTGTTTATTTATGCATTTTCTTAAAAAAATTTTTGTAAATATTTGTTTCCTGCAAAAATATACAAACTTGCTAATAATATTAAAAAAATGTTTTCAATAAAAGTGATATGTGTAGATATATAAATAAAGACATAATTTCAAGCTACTACTGTCGATTAATGTTATATAATTGCGTACATTTGTACAAAAATTGTTGAATAACGCATGTGTAAATTATGTTTAATCAAAATCCCACCGAATTTCATACTTTCCTCTACAGCCATTGTTGTGATAAAGGAGTAAAATGAAATATAAAAAAAGTTGTTTATGCGTACTATTTGTTGTTAAAAAAAATACACGTAGCTGGCTTATCTAAATCATCAATGTAACAAACCTTCAAATTGTCTCATTTGTTGTTTCTAATAGTTGTAATATTACTTTGAACAATGTCCAAATCGACGTTCAGCCAACATATATTAATTAACATATTTTTGCAATTTGAAAACTGCCTCTTTAAGTAACCTCCTTTTAAAAATGGAATTAATAGATATTTGAATATTGAATTATACACAAAACAAAAAACTTTTATAGAAAAATGCAACTTCGAAACGAATTCTACAAAAAAAGTTGAAGATGTCGCTAAACACATTACATATCTCAGACATATGCTGACACTAATTCCTAATCTAATCTACATTCGGAACTGCACTCCGCAACATCAACCCGGAGGTATGCATAAAGTCCAATTAGAATCCACTTTCATGGTGTCACAAATTTAAAATTTCTAATTGGAGAGCCTAAATAATACAAATAAACCTGAAATGCGTATCAGACATGTAGTTTATATGTTTTAAGGTCATGCAACAATTTTCTTTCTACTTAATTTTTACACTCTCATGCTCTCAATCTCACACAAATAGTTTTCTTGCCTCTTGCACAGATATAAGTAAAAGAAAACAAACCCAGTTTAACAATCAGGCGCGGGTTAAATTCAGTATACTCTATAGTTCCACGAAAACGTAGCGTTTCTTTGGAAAATTACGCATCCGATCTGAATAAACAAATTGTAAATCAGTGTACGAACTAAAATAACCGTAAATTGAGTATCAATTGCAGCAACACCTAATAGTTGTAGGTAGATAGTACCACTTCATTTGCCAAGGTTACTAAAATGGGTAGGTAACTACCATTTTGTTCGGATAAATATTGACAAGTGAATTCCACGGTTTTACAAATGTTGCTGAATGAAAATGTGCACAATATCATTTTCCAGCTCATTAAAAATCCATTTAGTCATAACATAAAATGTTTAAAAAAAATTTTGCACTGCATCAACAGATATCAACGAATTTTTTACTGAGAATGTACAAACATTAAATAAACATTTGAACTTACCAGAGGTGCTTTGTCAAAATCGGCTGAAGGTATCCTCAAAGGGCACAGAAACCCACAAACCACTCACTTCACCAAATCGGACGCGAAACCGCTTAAAAATACAATTTCCGCAGGACTCCTCCGGAAATCTACTCGAAATCGACAGAAATCTCCGTATTCCCCGTGAAAAAATTGTTTATTTGGCAGTTGTTTTTATTCCATCCACCGGACTCGGTCGGCGTTGCACCGTACTTTCGTGTCTTCGGCCAACTCGCTGCGATATTCAACAGGTAGGTAGTTTAAAAGCAAGCTGGCTTTGGCTAGAAGACAGGTATATCGCGGCAGTTGTTTTTCGAAGCGGAACCAATCCCGCTATGCAACTGGGTTAGCCGGTTCGAATTTGCCGCTCCGCTTTGCGAAGGTGCGTGGTTAGGGAAAGGGAAAATAATCAACCTTTAATTACGTTTTTTTTTTAGTGTACGTGGCGGCTGTATCGGCGTGAATAGTCAAATAATATCATATTAATATCGTAGCAATGAAAGTAATAAAAAGTTCAAGTGGTTATTTAAAGCGGAATTTTTAAAAATTAGTAAAGTAAATGAAAAAGATTAATAGCACCGTTTTGTTCAAGTAAAATTTTCTCCACCTACAGGGTGTCCGGATTTATAGGTGCACAGGCCGCTAACATTTTAAGTAAAAGAACAAATAAAGTTTAAACATGTTTTAAGCTTGCTACTATTTTCTAGCTGTTAATTTTTGAAAAATTGTATAGTAATTTATTTATTTCAAATTTACTCAAAGTGTAAAAGTACCTTGCATATTTTGATGTATTCATTAATTTCGAAAAAAGACATCTGCACATTTTTTATCACATATACAGGGTGTCCCACATAAGAACCGACACAGGGCAGGTGCATGTAGGGATGCCCAAAATATTGTAATTTAACCAAACTTACCTATATACAAAGTTGCACCCCTGAGGACTTATTAGCCCCCAAAGTGGGGTCCTAAATTTTGAAAAAAAATAATATCTCTACAACACTTTACCGCAGAAGAACCAAATTTGGTACATGATTTAGGTTTATTACTGGTCTTCTTTGACTATGATTTAAAGTTAATTGAAACAATACAAGGTGTTCATTGGGAATGACTCACCCCTAAAATTGTTCAGAACTTTTTTTCATTGACCGAATTGAAAAATAGTAGTATTAATTCGCAGCAGAATTTAGTTTAAAATTTTTTTTAATCTTGTTAAATTTTAAAAAACTTATGGTTTTCAAGAAAAACCATATTAACCGACACAAGATTTTAACAGTGTTCATTAGAAAATAATCAAAAAGTCAGTAATAGGCAATGAATTTCTTTCAAACTTGTCAGTTAATAAAATTATTTTATTTCAACAATTCTTCCACACTTCTACAGTTTCCTTGACAGAAACCCAGCACAAGTAGCATATCAACTTGTTCGCTAAATGTAAATTTTCCAGCCATTTTTAACAATAATCAGAGGCAATTGTTGAAATAAAATAATTTTATTACTAAGTGACAAGTTTGAAAGATGAATTCATTGCCTACTACTGACTTTTTGATTATTTTCTAATGAACGCTGTTAAAATCTTGTGTCAGTTAATAGGTACGGTTTTTCTTGAAAACCATAAAGTTTTTTAAAATTTAACAAGAGTAAAAAAATTTAAATTAAATTCTGCTGTGAATTACTGTTATTCAATTCGGGCAATGAAAAAAAAGTTCTGGACAATTTTAGGGGTGAGTCATTCCCCTGTGTCGGTTTCTATGCGGGACACCCTGTATAACACTTATTAATAAAAAAGTAGCAGTAAGTCAAACCTAATGGACCGAACAAAAGATTTAAGGGAGAAATAAAATTTAATAAAAGTTAGTAAAACATTTATTCGAAGGAAATTAACTACAAATTATTTATTTTTATAAATGATTGAAAATATTTGCCGCGCACAGGCGCACAATGAAATATTTATTTCTTTAAAAGCATACTGCTTTGTCAAAGAAGTATTCGAAATTTGTCAATGAAAGCCAATATATTCAATTAGTCATCACAGTGTATATTCTATGGGGCAGTGATAACATGTTTGGGTAGTGATAAATTGAGTTTTGGGTGCGAACTAACTGAATCCTGTAGTTATTTTTAATGTATTTTAAAATTTTAAATTACTCTTTTTAATTGAAGAATTTATTACTTACTATTTTGTTATATTAAATATAATTCATAAATATGACTACTTGAGTATACCAAAGGTTTCAAAATGCTTATTTTCATAGTATTTTCAAACTTTTTTCTTCTTTTTTTGCAGCACATATTTCGCAATTTCTTTGTTAGGAAATATTTTTGGAATAAGAAATCATAGTTTTGAATAAATTTTTAGGTATATTTCAATACATAATTTATCATAATATATGTACTAAGTATACCTGTATATAAAGAACAAACTGCATATTTCCTTATTTTTTTTTAACATGAAAAATTAATCAAAATTTTCTAAGATTATGTACTGTGAAAGACTTTAATAATTCATATTTAGATTAATAATGTTTTGTAAGGGGGTACTTATTGCGAGAAGAGGGGGTCTTAGTATCAAATTGAGTAGTGATAAATTTTTCTTAGAATATGTCCTTAATCATCAAAATGTATTTTCTCTCCAAAGTGGACACCATTTGAAGCAATGCACTTTTTCTAACGAACAACCCAATCATCAAAACACTTTTTAAACGCTTGTTGCGGTATGGCCTTCAACTCTTTCAGAGATTTTTGTTTTATGGATTCTATCGCTTCAAAACGTGTTCCACGAAGTGGTAATTTGAGTTTGGGAAAGAGGTAAAAGTCAACAGGGATCATATCCGGTGAATACATGACATGACATTCGTTGAGTTTTTGTATGTAATTATTGCGCTTATTACTGGAAAAACTGTCTCAATTATCGCTATAATTTTTGTTTATTTGAAAATGATCCTAGACCAGGAAAGCCTTCGACTTTAACTGATGACTTCCACTTTCAGAAAGTCCAAGATCTGGTGAGTTCAAATCCCCTCTGAACTGTCAGAGAAATTGCAAAAGAGGTTAGCATCTCGATTGGGTCATGTCATGCAGTTTTAACTGAAAAATTGAACACAACTGCAAGAGGAGAACATGATGTCTTGCGTATCGGGATATGCAGAAATCGGTTATGACGGGTGTCTCTGGAAGGAACATTAATAAGTATGCGGGAGAGCAGATTTTTTGCATTAATGAAACAATTTAAAATTTTGTAACCAAATAGCAGAATAGAAATAATACGACGGTGATGGTATTAATTTTACAGTCGCATAGTCAAGCTGTCTATTATGGGTACTTCTTAAAACATAGATATCTCAAAAATTTATTTTGTATTGTTTCAACCCGCTCTGTATATTTTTTTAGCTGCGCGTGCCATAACAATGACTCATTTTCAAATTTTGGCCTAACAAGAAGTGTGCAATACAAAGTAATAAAGGTTCGTTCGTATATCTTTCAGATTACGCGATTCCCTCTTAACAAAACCAAGAGCTTTATAGGCCTCAGATATAAATTTGTCCAAAGTGAAGTTTATATGATAATGTACTATCTATCGTAACGCCTAGATATTTAACATTATGTACCTTAACTAAATGTGTGTCATCCATCTTATTTATATGCGTAAGTAACAACATCCTTTTTACGAGTAAAAGAAATGTTGCATCAATGTTTCTTTACTCCAACGCAATTCAGAATCAAAGTCCAGCTGGAGCAGAGCACAGTCATTTACAACTTTAATTTGTCTATAAAATTTAAAATCGTTAGCGAACAACAAGCATTCAGAATGATGAAGACATTGGGGCAAATCATTAATAAAGTACAAGAACAAGAGTGGGCCTAAGTTGGAACCCTGTGGAACCCCTGAATTTGCTACATAAACTTTCGAAAACATTCCGTGATATTTAAAAGTCAAATATGCAGTTTTGTAAATATAATATCCCCCCTCGCCAGACCTGTCTCTTTGCGATTTTTTCTTATCTCTGAAATTAAAATCAGTGCTGAAAAGGCGCCCTTTTCAGATTATTGATGACGTCAAAGCAAATTCGTCACAGACTGTTAAAGCCATTTCAAATGAAGCTATTACAGACTGCTTCCTGCAATGGAAACACCGCTGGAAAAAGTGTGTGAATAAGGGAGGGGAGTACTTTGAAGGAGACAATGATCGGTTATTTTCTGAGCAGACCTCGTATATACAAAAAATAATATATAACAATAAATATTTGACATTTTCAAAACAAACTAAATTTTCCTACTAGCTTTAAGCAAGATTTCAGATAAAAAAAGGTGATACAATTTTTCAAACTTCTAAAAAACCATAGGGACTTAAGATTTGAAATATTGAGGAATTTATAATTTTCAAATATGTACTTTCTAATAAAAATATCAACTTAATTTGTTTTTTCACTTATTTATGTTAATATAAATCGGGACAAGGTGTATGTACTAATAAATAAATTTACTGAATTGAACAATGGAGAAAACTATGCAGGGTCATCAAACGAAAATAGTAAACTCGACTGTAGTTTTGTAGCTTCTATCACATGCAATTTGGTCATATTTTAAAGATGTAGACACTGAACGTCCTGTATAAAGTTGATACGATTACAACCTTATTACACTTAATAGTAAAGAGAGGTTATTATCGAAACGAAGAATTGCTTGCCACATGTCCAGAAACTAATCGTATCTCTTTCACACTTTACGCTTACGGCTAGAGTTTGCCACTTTGGTTCCCAGATAAGGTAACTTAATGGGGTCTGTAGGATTTGCATCGTGTTGTGCGTCTCGTTTAGTAAGTGTCTTTTAGATGTTGATACGGACCGCTACATCTAAAGAAATTTTTAAACTTCTTATTTGAAATATGCCTTTCAAATAAATGTTTCATGACTGAAAAGGGTGATAGAGGATACGAAAATAAGTAACTTTTATTAAGCAACTGATGATCTAAAACATTACGTTTTAAGTTAAAAAAAAATTCACGTGAAGGTTTAAACAAATTTAAAACCGTCCCCGGTGCGACAGCCAGCTGTACTTTTGATATCGAAGCTGCCGCGCGTCGCAGGACAAAAGCGCTGATAGAATTTTTGACGGTTTAAATTTTGTGTTATGTTGTGAAAATGCTGAAATTTATTCAAATCTCGTTAAAAAGTAACATAAAAATCAAACGAATAAACGAATTATTTACCAATAAACGATATGTTCTACAACAATTGTTCAGAGTTGTTTCCATTTGCTAATAAACATGATTGTTTCCAAAGGACGGTCAAAATTCAGTCACCAAAAACACCACACCACACATTCACTGAAAACCGTTGCTGGAACCGAGATCTCTGTACCACGTGAGGACTGGCATCACACCAATAATGAATTTTGTGCTATTTGATGTCGATACTACTGGCAAATTTCCACACGGGGATGTAAATCATTATTAATTAATGCCTGAATCCTTTGTACGTATACATGATAGGGTTATAACAATTATTCCCGTAAAGGCGACACGATACTGTTAGTTTTATACGCCGGCTAAGTAATACTGCTACACAGAACGCACGTGCACAAGATGCACAGGGTTGGCTTACATTTATGGTTAATTTTCTTAATTAATTTTCTCGAAAACAGAAGCATTTAAACCATCAGTAAAAGTTGCTCATTTTTGTCCCCTCTCTATCACCCTTTTCACTTATTTCAGAAATACCCTGTATTTTAAGTTAATGCAAAAAAGAAATCGACTTTTATATTTACAATAGTGGATGTTTTTATTATATAACGCAATTGTTATGATCAGTGTACCTAATATACCGATCTATATGGCAGATAACGATTATTTTGGCGGAAATACCTATGTACGTACCTAAATGGTTTTACTGCTAAACCACCCTTACATGCATTGTGTAAAAAAGAAGCTAAAAGGTACGGTCGGACATAAATAGAAAAAATAGTTGTAGACAAAGCTAGAGATAAAAAAAATAAGATATAATAATATGGACTAATGTATTTGAAATTTACCACTTAACTTTTAATATTAAAAAAGTTTGATTTTCAACTTAATATTTAAACAATTTACACTTCAATAATCAACTTTTCCTTTATTACACGTTGTAGTACAACTCTTCACGAGTAAAATAAGCCCTCGAACAAGTCTCTATGACAAGGGTCGGCAAGTAATTTTAGATGGGGTCCGGATACTTTTGAAAATTTTTAACGGGGTCCAGAAAAAAAATTCATATTTCTTCCAAATTTTTTATTTTAATTTGGACTCAAATTTAATCTGCTACTAACCATTAACAACTCAAAACACTCACACAAAATGATAAAGTTGGCACTCAAACGTAAAAAAAAACATTTTTTAAATAATTTAAGTAATTTATACCTTCAAAAAATTTTTGGGGGTCCAGTATTTTACCTTCCGCGGTCCGGACCTGGACCGCGGTCCGCCAGTTGCCGACCCCTGCTCTATGACGTCTCAAAGATATAGAAATTGGAATTTGCCAAGAGCCTTTTTTTAATAACAAATAGCTTTTAACATAAAACTGATAAATATTTTGAGCTAAAATTTATACCACTTATTAATAGAGTTCGGGACTTGGTCGGATGATCGTAGCGTAGATTGTAGATATTTTTAATACCTATAAGTAAACTTTTTTCAGTAGCATCAACGTTCAAGAGTTGAACACAAAAAAACGGTTTTTCGAGTTTTCTTTGATTATTTAAACAATGTTCCGCAATCGTCAACTGGTCTCAGACTATTGTCCTAATATCCTGACACCATTTCCAATATGTTTGATTAATAATATATCATCTTTTAATTCAGTACTTTAAAAGTCTAATTCGATTGGACTAATATTTTTCGTCTCGTTGGCATGTAAATTAATATACAAAAGGCCGAGAAACAGGATCTCAGTTCTCACAATCAGTCGCACTAAATGACATCACAAGGCGTTGTTGTTCACGTGACAAAATTTTTACATGATTTGAAACACAAAAAATAAAAAATTTTACTATGGATTATAGGCCCATCATCTTCCGTTTTTGAAATGTGAAACGTCAAAATAATGATTAATTTGTATATAATCAAATTAATTATTTTACCACTGTTAGTTGTTGTCGGTGTCACTACAAATTAATGATCTAAAATAAATTAGGTAAATTAAATTTTCAAGCAAATTGCCTATTTAATGTGCCTCAAGAGAGATTTGAACATATTAATTTGGATATTGATAATCTTTTATGGTTATTGTTATATTTTAACAGTTATTGATCGTTTTATACGTTGGTATATCATCTTATAGAAACATTTCTACCAAAATAATAGCTAAGACATTATCGACTGATCAATGTACGAATTTTGAGCCAAATCTGTTTAAAGAATTATATTAAAGGCATTATTAATGGTTAATGCGGATACACTGGAAAGATTAACTTTCAATTGCACCTTTAGATATCAGAACAATGATATAAGAAGGTTTTAAATGTTCTCCTGCAGATAATTTTAGATAACTTTAAATAATTTTGGATGTTTTTGGATAACCAGTAAGGGTTCCATTTATATGAATTATTAATAATATTAGACCAACCGTACGCGATTATAAATATTTTTTTATAATAAACAATAGGTAATTATTATAATAAATCCGTCTTTGTTAGAATAAATATGAAATTATACCAATAATAAACGTCTGTCAAGTTATATCATTTTTTTTTACATTTACAAGAAAATAGTTTTAAAATGCATTGCGTTTTATATATGTAAGCGTGTTATGCAACCAGTCCTACACCCAACTAGTTTGTATAGTTGCATGACTCGAAATAATATAAAAACTATATATTTTGATAACAGAAAATATGTAGACAGATAGACATACACATTGGAAGGAATTTATATTTCTGATTAATTAACTAGTGAATGTCAGCTCAATTGTGTGTTTAATATGACTCATTACTTTATAAATCCTGATCTAGAAATTTACATATCGACTATTGACACATAACATAATTAAATTCCTGTTATTGTATTATAACAATTTAATCAGTATTTAAATAAGACATTGTTATTTCAGATTAATTGTATGAGTAATTTGTCAAAGGATAAAGATAGCGTAACTTATAAAACCAATGGGATAAGACACTATTAATTGTTGTTTTATCTAGTTGTAATATGGGTGGTTTTGATAAAAAAATATTAACAACTTGGAAAAATCAGTAAATTCATTATTATTCTAATGATGCATGGTTCAATTAATCAATATTTATTATTCTATTGTTCTCCAACAGTCATACAATTAAATTAAATACATATTAATCATTTTTGCCTTGTGGCCTTATGAACGTTTAGAAAAGGTTACGTGAAAAAAATATCGGTGTGGAAGGCCGAAAATTCAACTTCAACTACCTAGGTACTCTTACTTCCATCCTCTTGGCAGCACAGAAATTTGGTAGAAAGTTATTTTGGAATGGGCCAATATGAAATTTATTTTTTTAAACGTTTTGTGTTTTTTATTAATCAACATTTTCTAAAATTATTAAAATGTCAAGATAATTTATCGTGATAGTATTTTTACGCTACCAGTCCTACACGTAGCTGGTATATACAGTTGCATAAGGCGATATGAGTACGAAAACATTTTTTATATAAATAAATGTAAATTTTTCTATTAATTTACACTGCAGACTGCAGGTATCTATTGGTTTTAAATGGACTCCGTATTTCAGATTAATTAACTAATTAACTTAATTTAGCAGGTCTCAAATGAAGCGTTTTTTGAAAACCTCTAAGTATAAACAGAAGCAAAAACTCCTGTTGGAGAGCGCTTATTAATACAGCTAAAAAAACTCCATTTTTGGTCATTTTTACATTATAATCATTGTTAAACAATGATCTTGTTGTTTTAAACCAATAATTTTTGGGAAATATTATTTATTTTTGTTTTTGCCTGAACTAACAATTAAACCAAGTTTCAATCTGAGACGAATTTTTTTACAATTTTTTTTTCATTTACTGGACAATTGTTTCAAATAATTTACTTAATATTAATAACTTAATTGTCCTGATTATTCATTGAAGAATGGATTTGTGAAATAACTAAATGAATAGCGTACTATGAGTTAATATACAGTAGACGATAAAAATATCAGGCTCGAAGGACCAAACTTCAAGTTACAACCAATTTACCTTTATTTCTGTCTATTGCCATAAAGACAATGCTTACTTGTTGAAATACAAAGAGATTTACAAAGAAAAAATAAACGAATGAAATAGCACTTCGATGTTGTAATAACGAAGTAAAATTTTCTACACCAGTATTAAAAAAATGTATTTGCAGAACTGAGCAATTATGCAGAATCATCAAGTAAAAATGTAAAAAAAACAATCAAGCATCACATTTCAGAAATATGTGTACCAACTCTGCTTTCTGCTATGAAACATCTTGTATATTTCTTCATATGCAAATAGACACAGCCTCAAGATTGCAGTGATACAAATCCACGAATTATTCGCAAATAAATTTTTTTAATTACACATCAAAAATATCTGGTTCGAAGGACCAAATATCAAATTACAAATGACCTACCCTTATTCGCCTGATATCTTAAAGGTAATGCTTATTATTTAGTATGGCATTTAAAAAAAAACAGTAAAAGGAACAAATTTAGATTACATCAAAAACATTAGGCTCGAAGGACCAAAATTCAAATTGCAAATAAACCTACTCTTATTTGTTTGTAATACTTATTTGTTTGGTGTGAAATTTAAAAAAGTAAGCAATAAAGAAATTAACAAGTTTAAATTACTTATCAGTAGCATCAGGCTCGAAGGACCAAAATTCAACTTGCAGCCAATCAACCCTTACATTTGCCGTTTTAAATGTATTGCTGATTTTGACAAAATTTCTTGAGATGTTGTGTAAGTGAGCAAGTTAAACAATTAACAGTCCTTACAAAACGGTCGCGCTTTTAATTTGGCATACTACATATCCCACTCCTGAATAAAAACTCAAATTATTTAAAAATATTTATTATGTACTTATTGTCATATAAATATAACTTGTAAATATAATATCTTTACAGCTCCTCAAAAAATGCAACTCTGCTTTTTGTCGAACCAGATTTGCTTTTTTTTAGGGTCGAATATTTGTTCTCTCCCATCTTCACCTGCTCCTCGTGCAACTGGTCGTAGTCGTTCTGCTTATCACCTACCTTTAGTACCGCTATCTCGCTACGCAACTCCCGCAGTTGATTCTGCAGGTGCTTCGACTTCTCCAAATAATCCACCCTAAAAATCGTTTCGATAAAATAACAGTAGGTTGGTATCTAGATAAAACAACTCACCGTTCTTTTTCAATCTCTAATGAGAGTTGATCAGCGTCCCCGTGAGCTATCAGATCGTAAGAGTTTAAATTCAAGTTTAAGTCTGGCGAAGTGGACGCCTCGCTGTCTAAAATAGACAAGTCTGCTCCATATCCAGGGCTCAAAGGTGGTGCATAGAGGGTTGTGACGGACTTAAATGAAAGTGTAACGTTATTCATATGGTCACACGCAAAAACATTGATATACAATAAATTACACACTGTATACAATTTTATGAAAACAATGGTTAGAGGACATTATGTTATAAATTTTATAGATACAGGATGTAACTTTAAGCGAGAGTAAAATTTGTAGGGATAAAAGTACAACCCTGAAATTAGTTGGGTTTTTTAATAAAATATACAGGGTGTTAATTAAGTATGTACAATAAATTCAACAGATAATTATTTCAGTGATTTTAAGACAAAAATTTCATAGAAACATTGGTCCGCAGAGCTTCCTTTTCAAGATACAGGGTGTTAAACTTTTGTAAAAAAATTGTTATTTCATAAATGTCTTAAATACTCTTTACCCAATTTTGTTGTAATTTGGCAAGTGTTATTTATACTTTATGTTATTTAGATGTTACATGTTATTAATAAAAAATTATAAAAAAACGTAATGTAAATGTTTATTTGGAAATAAAATGAAAACCACTTGGGTTTAGATATAGGGAAACTTTAACAAAGTTAGACTTAATTTTAGTGCAGAATGCGAATACATTAAAAAAATTAGGGGTTTCCATTTAAAAATTTCGAGTTTTCCACATTTTCTGAACTTCATATTCAATACATTTTTTTTGACCACTCTGTATAAAAACTGGAAAATTTTCATGTCAAATTTGATAAATTAGGTCTTCCTCTACAAAATGTCCAGTTTGCACAAAAAATAAACCTATATTTCCGGTAAAACTAAATTTTGCTAACAGTCTGCATCTGTCAATTTTTGCTTAAAAATGAAAATATCTCGGAAACGATCAATCCTAAGTATGGAGTGTGCTATATGTTTTCTACTTAAAAATAGATGCTCTTTCCAAAAATGCAATAATATACAGGGGGTTACGTTTAAAATAAGAAAGTTAGTATTGATTTCCGGTATAACCGGAAGTACGATAACCTTGAAAATATTTTAGATTGGTAGGCCCCACGGTCCGTATCACAATTTCAAAAAAATGCTTGGAGCGGTTTCCCAGATATCCATCGATGGAGTTCATGGTGAGACACCCCGTATATATTTTGCATGAGTAATTAAATATTAACAAATATTGGTATGTGAATAGGGGCATGTTACTAATTGAAAGTAAAACTAACTTTTGCTTTAAATAGGTAATTATTTTTGATATTTTATAAAATGTACATAATAAAAAATAAATAAATAATTAAGTAATTTGAAATAATTTTCAAAATCATTTCAAGTTATTTATTATTTTTTTTATAAAGCACTGCGTTTAGTTTGTGAATCTCAGTGTCAATAACCTCTGACACTGACCTAATTTAGGAGAACTGCATAATCCTTATGAAGTGTTATGTGTATCAAAAAACAAATGCCAACATTAATTGAAGAAAAGGAGAATAACTGAATGTCATCACCTCAATTATTCATTATTAAATTTCTGTGATATGAATAAACACGTGTCAACGATACATCATGCCATAGCTCCCAATACGTATGCACTGTTTGATGTTATACTGCCTGTTCAGTAGCGGGGTATGACAATTACAAAAATGGCTCATAATTACAAAAAATTCAGTCGTTATGCAGGAATTTGAGAAAGCATTAAAATAAGCTAACCTCTGTATAAATATGACTCCCATTCAATGTTAATCCTGTATACTGTGGTTTTCGTCTGTTTTAAGTCCACTTCAGGACATTTAACTTTTAGAGAAGAAATTATAATATGTTTTCTATTGCATGTAAATTGAAAGAAAAGAAATCTGCAAATTTTCCACAGCTAACTTGATTTTTATATATTAAAAAAAATACATTTCTTGAATATCTTTGAGGATATTTAAAAATATTTAAAAATTTGCATCCAGAAATATCAAAGAAAAAAATATTCTATTTCTCCCATAACAAAAATAATTCGACATTTTTTTGTAGTTTTTTTTACATCCAGTATATTTTCTATAACTTCTGATTTTTCAGTTGTTTCAAAATGTTTTTAACCGACAGGATGTCCAGTAAATGGTAGACAATCTCTCGGATTTTGGGCTCACCCTGTAAAGTTTTTTATTCTTGAAGTCGAGATATAAAAATGAAATTTTTTCAACAACTTCTTTGTTTCTCATGTAATTTGGTAATGTATACAACCGTTTTATAAATTCAGTGTATCATGCATTTTCTTGAATTTAAAAGAAAGTTACAAACAAATTATTTTCGGTGTCTACACACAAAGAAATTGTTAATATATGATTTGAAACAAAATTTTAACAGATTCCTAAATTCCGAAAATACAGTCTAACTTTTAATTGGTGACCAGTGTTTTTTAGGAGTTGCAGTACTTGTTCTCCAGAATACTAATCTGAAATTAAATTTTTCAATCAATTACATAGTCAAGTCATAGTTCGTTGTTTAAACTGCATTTAAACTCTTGTCTAAACCAGCAGTCCGCAGTTATCGAACTCGGTAATATGTACGTGTTTATCAATATTGCATTTTTTTAATTTTTAAACCAACTGTATAAAACTAATGGAGTGGCAAGGAGCCAAACTGCAATTGAAAATAATTTAATAAAGAAATTGCTTTTTGTATATCTACCCTCCTTATTAAGGTGTGAATTTTGCTACTTTTCGTGTGAAGTGTTAGACTTTACTGAAATCGAAATCAAACTTGTAAAGTGCAGTGTTTATTATGAAGGTTAATTTTATAGTAATTTTTAAAATGGTAATGGCAAGTGTATAGCCATATGAAGTTATTTATTTCCGTGTTTAGTGTTGATATGTTGTGCTTGTGTATGTTCATTGTTAAATTTCTTTGTGATATTATGGAAAAACATGTATATATGATTGCAGAAAGATGAGATTAGACAAGAATGCATGCCATAATTTCCAATTCACAGCTAGCGCATGCATCTATCCAACGGTGCGATATGATGGCAATTAGAAAAGATTTAAAAAAATTTGAGAATGCCAACTATCACGTATTTTTAAAGATGAAATGTAGCCTCCATATAAATATGACCTCCAGTCAAAGTTACACCCTGTATATTGATTGTTTAATAGAAATTGATTGTAAAGGAAAAATCAAAAGTTATAGACAAATATTACATACACTAAGAAAAAACCTGAATAAATAACCACGTTACAAAAACCAAAAATTTTCACAAATTAAAAAGTTATTCGACATTTGACGAACAAAACGGCAAAAAATTTAAAATTGCCAAAAATGAAAAATCTTTCAAATTTGTCTCTAAAATCGAGCTCGAGGCATGAGGAGCTTTTTGTTTATCTTCTCAGAAAATAAGAAAAATCTCCTAAAAGTGTTAAAATTGTACCTGGACGAAACAATATTAAAAAGTTTAGATAAATACTTTTTGCGTTAGAATAAAATACGTAATAATAGTTAGTCACCAAAAAAGCATTAATTACAAGACTTATCACACTTACTGATATTGGAGACGCTGTATTCGATCCCGTGTAAGATGTGGTGCGACTTAAAAAATCGAGAAGCTTCTCTTTAGCTTGTTTCTCGGCAGCACGTGCTTTCAAAAGTTCATCCTTCAGTTTATTCGCTTCCGCCGCCCTCTTTTCCGACTCTTCCACGAGTCTAGCAGTCAACATCTCCGCTTCCCTCGTTTTTCTTTCTAGAGAGACCTTGAAAGCACAAAAATATATTGATTTCGATGCACAAACACAATCATCATTTAAAACAAACACATTTGATAAACACATCGATTGTTTCTATAAATAAAACAAATGAGTCACTAAACAAAAGAGAGTACTTTTAATCTCATGAAATAATCCAAGACGGTGCTTTGAATTTCAATGTTATTTATCACATACCTTTTCTTCGTCTTTTCTCATGGCAGTTAATCTTAACCTAGTTATTTCTTGCTCAGCTTCTGCGGCCTTTTGACTCAGAAGCCTAGCTTCTTCCTCGGCTACTCTACTTTTTTCCGCTAAAAGATCCGCACTTTCCTCTGATCGCCTCTAAAACACCAGAAAAGATTTTTTATTGTATAACCTTCCAATTCATACTTTTCCAACTTACCAAAGCTTCGTTGGCCAGTCGTATCTCCTCTTGATACTGCAACAATCTTTGTTCCATATTAGCTCTGTCTCTCTCAGCTTCTTCCCTCAACTGTTTCTCTCTAGCCAATCGATTTCGTTGGACCTGCCTCCTTTGTTTCTCTTCTTTCGCTGCCGCTTTCATTTGTTGTAGTTCCATCGAATCCGGCTTCCTCCGTCTCATAAAGAGGTCGTGGTTTCCCATACACAAATCTAATATCTTAAAAATTAGGCAAGTAAAATAGAAATTTCTAAAAAAATTATCGGAGACTTACCAGTTTGTTCATCCTTACTTTCTGGCTGAAAAACACAAAATTAGGTGCATTTTTATCAACCGGTTTGATGATGAACTTCTTATCATCGAAACTGATATGTCTAATTTCCGACCAAGTGAAGGTCGTTTTTGGTTGCAGCTTGTTCTCCTTCTCATAAATGTTCAGGCCCAAAGCCGTCACACCGAGCCACAAATCAGTCTCTTTTTTATTCTGAAAAAAAAAAAAAAATTATTGTTAAGTCCACATTTTTCAGGATAAATGTTTAATGACATACCATTATTGGGAAATAATTGACTCCGTACATATCTAGGTCCTGGGCTATTTTCAGGTATTCCATTTCTGCCTCGTCACGAGACATTCCTCTGTGATCAGCATACCACACCCTTATCCTTTCTTCCCACATCTCTAACGTCATTTGATACTGATCTATAACTCTCTGAGGCAACAAGTCTTCGCTAGCCAGCATGCCAGGTTTGTAAGTGTCTTCATCAAAGTCACCAAACTAAAACAAACATCACTTGAAACAAATGAAACACGCTGCTAAATCAAGGCACCCATGCAATTACAAAGGTGACTTGATTTTGACTGGTTATGAACAGAGTAATAGAAATATATATCAACCTTTGCTTGTACAGCATAACTAGCTAATAATACCGAAGCCTCTGGCGGACAATAGACGTCCATAGACAATATCGCCTGCTTTACTTGGAGGAAAAACGAATGTTGTGTGACCTCTTGAACAAGTTCCTCTGCTACCTCTTCGGGATAGAACTTGGCCAAGAACATAAACGAAGCTGTCTGGTGATTTTTTTGTATGCTTTGGTCCTGAACTAGAAAAAGTACAAATAAATCATGGTATAACAAAGCTATGGTTTTATACCTTTCTTGTCCAGTTTAAGCCAAGATATAAAACCTTTGGAATCTTCATACTGTAACCCAAAATACCAGGTTTCTCGTAAGCCTATTGTTCTACATACTAGTTCGAAAAGATCTCTTCCTGTCGCACGCCACTAAAAACGTTAAAACAAACTTACTTTCGTTGTATGGACTCTAAAATCTCTACTAAAAATTTAAAACTGCTTTCACTAGAAATTCCAGACTTCGCAAAATAGCCTATGAAATAAACAAATGACAAACGTATAAACATACCTCTAGATTAAACTCTAGTTCTGCGTCGAGAGTACAAACTTTCACTGGGAAACTTTTCCCCGATTTTTTTCGACGGAATGGAGGCATATTTTCTAACATTATTCATTGCAGCACATATGTATCACAAACATAAATACATTTTTATTTTTATTAATTTATTAGACTGTCAAAATCAATTATGTCATTTTTGATTTTTGATCTAATCCACCCAGTGAATACCAACGGCTACATTAATACCAACTCAAAGGAAATAAATTTATGTGGCATTATTACAGATTAATTTTACTTTAAAAGTAAATCTTTGGGGAATTTAACTAAATAATTTATATATGTTTATAAAATAATTCGAATTATCTTTGACAATTTGAAATAATTTTCTGAGCTGAGCTGACCTTTAGTATACTTTATTTTAAAACAGATGTGCTCAAGGCGCCGTGGCTTAGTTACGACTTGACGATACTCGGACCGACAGAACCGACACATTA